AAGAAGATGGCGCACGACAAAAAATCGTCGCCGGTCTCGGCGTTGTCATCTCTACCGCGTCGGAAGCCGACAACCCGAAGAATGAGATGTCACGAGTAAGTAGATTTGCGTCTGCTCAGTGGGCACTCGGAAAAATGCCTCGCGTCCCAGGGAGTCAATTCGACGACGAGGAAGCCTTCGGCTTAGGAGTGCTTGCGGATGTTGCAGACGACGGAGCCGACGAGTTCTCTCGCCAGGCTGCGATCCGGGCGTCTGCCAGAAAAGCATTCGCAGAACACGACGTCGGGAGTAGGACGTCAAGAGCCGCTCTCCCAAAGGCAACACCACTAGCTGGTGAGGATCAGGTAGGTGATGTAGTATGTTTTCGTAAAAGGCATACTGACGGCGGGGTTACCGTTCTCGCATCGTTGGATTCGATGGTAAAACGCATGGGTTATCACAGAGGCTATTACCAGTCTGCACGGCTATCGACAGGCTTCGACCGTGTACAGCGTCGGAAGCATTGGCTTACCTATATCTCTCTAAGCATCATGATGGTGGTGTTGAGAGGCATGCACCTCCAAAAGGGCAGCAGCAATCGTTCGTGGACGAGCGCCAGGATCTGCCAGAATCACGAGCGCAGGAGCACCCTGCAGAAGAACCTCCCATGGCAACGGAGCGGCTGCCGGGGACCCCAAAAGACCCTGAGGTAATAGAGGCAGTATTTCGCCAAATGGAAGAAGACGATCCGGAAGACGGAATGATCGATCCTGCGCCGCCCGCGTCGAGATCGTCACAGGTGATTCGAACGCCTCTCCAGAGGTCGTCACTAGACAACGCCCCGCACGGCATACAGAGTCGCAACGAGGCGATGCGCCGAAGAGTCGAGAATGCCGATGGTAGCACGGGAAGGGATTCTGATTCTGTCTCGGAGCCAGCTCCCGGACCAGCGAACCCGCTGTTCGAGGCCATACGCAGAGCTGGAACATCAGGGCCGGGCATGGATCTCTTAGCAAGTAGAGAAGCTACACTAGCAGTTAAGTCGCATGAATCGCTTGTCGGATTCTGCGATGAACGCACCGTAAATAAGCCGCAATCCAAGAAGAAACGAATGAGTGCAACGACTCTGGTGTACCATCAGGAACCTGAGGACGTTATAAGCTGTTTAAGACTCGCAAGACAAGACTACTGGGGAAAATGGCGGAAGTTCAACGCCGCCGCACCTATTGATCCTGTGGAACTGCAAAGTCTTTTCGACGAAGGATATCGTATGGTGCCTACACAATGGATTGAATTTTATAAAAATGAACATCTCCGTAGATCAGGTGGACCTCCGGTTGCAACGCAGTACAATTGCAGACTTGTCGTACGTGGAGATCTGGAAGAGTCGCTGGGCATCCGCATGGATTCACCAACGTGCGAACTCGAAGGGTTAAGGTTGATGGTATCATGGGGTGCCGGCCCAAAGACGGTTCTCAAATGTGCCGACATTACATCCGCGCACTTCCAGGGGCAGAACTGGACCGCCCCATGCTGCTCAAGCCACCCCCCGACGGACTCGAAGGAGCACCGGATGGTGGAGCACTGATCGCGCGCATGCCCGTCTACGGCACGCGCGACGCAGGGCGAGGTTCGCGGGGGATGCTTCGCAGAAGGTTTGTAGCTTATGGTCTGAAGTGGAATCGTAGCGCGCCTGCTTTGCTCAGCATCCACAATGGCAAGAACGAGATCAAACGTGCGTTGGGCACACATGTGGACGACGCACTGTGGGCCGCAGATGACGAAAGTCAGAAGATCATTGCTTCGTATTAGCGGAGTTGGATACTCGCGAGATCAAGTCGAAAAAATCCGTTGTTGCAGTTTAGAAGTTGTTCAAGATGAAGATTTCACGGCGAGTATTTCGGCCTGGGACAATATTGAGGCAATCGAAGTTGCACCCTATCCTGGAGACAGGCCCCTTACGAAGAGCTGCAATGAGGGCGAAATAGCTCAGCTCAGATCGGCCGCAGGTGCTCTGTCATGGGTTACAGGCCAGTGTAAACCTGAGCTGTTGTATCGCGTGAGCAGACTGTAGACTGCAGTGCGCCACGCTAAGGCGCTCCATCTCAGGGGTGCCAACCGCGCATTGGAAGAAGCAACCCAGTCCGCTGATTGCGGATTAGCGTTCAAAGGTGGAGCTGTGAAGCGGAATCAAGATATGATAATTCTCACTGTTACTGATGCCGGCTGGGCAGGCGAAGACGATGTAGTCAAGGGCAGGATCGAGCCTCTCAGATCACAGAGGGCTAGGTTCAATGGACTCGCTGGGCCTGAATTCGTCTAGGGGAACAGCGACAACGTTCACTCTCAACGTATATCTAGTAAAGTTATCAAACGAGCATGTAAATCTGCACTACAAGCAGAGACCCTGGCTTGTTTATGGAGTGTAGAATCTGGTGCACGCATTCGCGCCGCCATCACAGATGCGCGAGGCGTGCTTGGCACAGAAAAGAAGCTACCAACCAACTGGGAAGATGAACCAGCCACGTATGTGATACACTTGTGGGTGACGGATTGCAAAAGCCTCGAATAACATCTCATAGCATCAATTATGGGTAAGACAGAAGATAAGCGCTTGAGTATCGATTTGTGTAGTTAAAAGGCAATATAGTTGGACGAACGGAACGGAAGAAGTAGACATCAGCTTGCATCCGCGCACGTTTTGTGATAAGATCCGGTGCATTGGTACCAGCACTATGGCTGTTGAATGTCTTACGAAGAATATGCCGACATATTTTCGTGTTAAGATCCTACGTACAAGTCCGTATGATGTAACTCCAGACCCATAATCTATTCTGAAGAAGGCTTAAAAGCATTTGGCGAGGGCCAGAATGAACGCTATCCAAGCGGGAAAGTATGTGAACTGATGCCCTGATTGCTTTTACTTGACTAATCCCAACCTGGAGATACTCCTGTCAGTGCCCCTAGAGGTTTACGGAGACCAGCGGTACTTCGCGGTCTGCCAGCTAGCCCGTGATAACATTGCACGGGTGTGAGATAGTGCATGTGTCACGTGTGTATATGCGCCACTCGAAGCCGTTTGACCTCCAGGGTTTTTTGTCATTGTGCTAAAACGCATCATAATCACAGGGGAGGTTCAAGGGGAGGGGGGTGGCTAACCCCCCCCCCCTTTGGGAAAGGAAGGGGGCGGGTAGCTTCCAGAACGCGAGAAGGGGGGGGGTAGCTTCCGAGGGGCGAGAAGAAAGGAGGAGGGGGCGGGGGCTGCTTCGGCAGAGGAGGTTCAAAGGGGGCGGGGGGGTAGTTCAGCCCCCCCCCCGTTTGGAAAAGGAGGGGGGGTAGCTTCTGGAGCGCGAAAAGGAGGGCGGGGGGGTAGCTCCCGAGGGGCGAGAAAAAAGTAGGTGGGGGACCTCCAGCAGGGCAGGTCCAAGAGAGGGGGTAGCCAAGCTAGGTGCGCGCGCGTCATATCTGACGTCCTACCCCTCCCTCCCGTCCCTTACCATGGCGCTGATTTTCTCTATCCGCGGACTAGTGGGTGGTGGTGCGCGTGCGTGCGTGCGTGGGTGCGTGGTTGTGGTGGTGCTGGTGCTGGTGCTGGTGCTGGTGCTGGTGCTGGTGCTGCTGGTGCTGGTGCTGCTGGTGCTGCTGGTGCTGCTGGTGCTGCTGGTGCTGCTGGTGCTGCTGCTGGTGGTGGTGGTGGTGGTGTGTGTGTGTGTGTGTGTGCGTGTGTGCGCGTGTGCTGTGGCATGGCACGGGAAATGACGCCAGCGCTGCAGCGGGAGCACGAGTCGAAACGGGCGGAAGCGCGGACATGAGGCCAGCGCTGCAGCGGGAGCACGAGTCGGAACGAGCGGAAGCACGGAAATGAGGCCAGCGCTGCAGCGGGAGCACGATTCGGAACGAGCGGGGCCCGAAAATGAAGCCGGCGCTTCGGCGAGAGCAGCATTTTGAAAGCAAAACAAAAAAACGAAAACCCGTTTCCCGGGAATACTGTGTGTAAAAAACACTACGCGGGGGGGCGGATATCTTCGGGACGCCATCAGGGGAAGTGGGAGAGTATTTTCATATTCATATCGTGTAATTGTCAAGGGGGGACCCCTCCCTTCTGGGAGTGCGCCAAGGACGCGCCCTCTCGTCATCATCCCATGAGCAAGCGCGCCCCATGCCCGTCGAACCCGCCTTCGTGGCCTCCGAGGTTCGGGAACCTTTCCCAACAGCAGTGTGATCTTCATGAGAACTTCGAGGCGCGGTGGAACCCTGGGGCACGGCGCGAGAATGTTTGGAAATATGTGTAGACTGGCTTGGCATATTTGTCTGGTATATCGCTCGGGATAGCATGCTTCCCCAACTTTGGGACGGCAAGCATACGTCTGTCTTGCGTAGCGAAGAGTTCGTGTCGTCGGTCCGGCGGCGCGCCCCAGGGGGAAGGGAGAGAGGTGTAGGCCCTCTCAGAGGGCGGCGGAGCTTTTCACAAACCTTCCGGCCTTCTGACAAGCCCTCCGCGTCTTCAGAAAAAAGGCTCAACAGTTGCTCAGAAGATCGGAGGCTGTTCTGAGCCTTCTGACGGGGCCCGCCCGCTCCGCCTTCCCCCCCTGTGCGCTTCGCCGAGGCATGGCTGTCCTTCTGGCGAAGCCTGTAGTCTGTGTTTTCGTTGTATGATTTTGCCCATCGGCGCGGGCTCCTGGCCCCCCCTCGTCCCCCCCCCCCCCTCCGTAGACCAGACCTTGGCTGCTTTTGGCGACTGGTCCCAACCCCTCCCCACAGTCTGCTTGCGCGACTGGTAGGAGCAGATCGACTAAGCACTGGCCCAGACCCAGACCCCCCCCTCTCTTCCACCCTTCGGCCAAGACCCAGAATACAAAAATGCTTACCTGTCGCGGTGGCACTACTTATCTGTCTTGGCAGTCTGAATTGATCCCGAGGTCGGAAACACACTTGGCCGCGCCCCCCAGTGGATTTCGACCAGGTCCCGCCATCGAGCCCTCGACCAAGTCCCGCCCTTTGCCAGAGCCGGGCTCGCCCAGGATGGCTGCCAGGGCACAGCGCCACTGCCAGCCGCCACGGCAAGGCTCCTGGGCGTGCTCCAGCACCCGCTGCTGGTGGCCAAGGCGGCCTCCTGCCCCGAAGGACTGCTCGCGCTGTGCGCTGGCTTGTTGAGCCGCCCTCCTGGTCCTCTTCATCACTTCTTTCTCCTCCTCTTCTCCCTCCTCCTCCTCCCCCTCCTCGCCCCCCTTCCCCTCCCCCTTCTCTTACGCTCCTCTACTCCTCCTCCTCCCCCTCCTCCCCCTCCTCATCCTCCTCCTCCTCCTCCTCCTCGTCCTCATCCTCATCCTCATCCTCCTCATGCTCCTCCTCCTTCTCCTCCTGCTCCTCCTCCTCCTGTTCGAGCTTCTGCTCCTCCTTCTCCGCCTCCTACTCCTCCTCTTCCTCCTCCTCCTCCTTCTCCCTCCCCTGAGGCTCCTCCTCATCATCCTCATCCTCACCCTCATCCGCACCTTTCTTATGTGTTGTCCTACGTGTCCTCTTCTCATTGATGTTATGATCATGATTGCTCTTAATCATGTTCAAGTTGTCATCGAGTTCGCCACAGGCGCGCCCTCGCCTCGGAGCCGCTAGGCAGGGTGGACGGATCTTTCTACGCTCGTCTCCTCCTCCGCCTCCTCCTCCCGCCCCCGAAATTCCTCCTCCTCCTCCGAAGCTCCTCCTCCCTCTCCTCCACAGCCTCCTCCTCGTTTGGTAGGCCACCAAGGCATGACATCCGAATCACACATTCCACGGGAAAGAGAGCGGCAGCAGAAGGAACAAAAAGACTAGGCCTCAATCGCGGCAGCTGACCAGGCCTCCACATGGAACAGTGAGACGACGTCCCCCGTTACCGTCCACAGCTCAATCCAGTATTTCCCACGGGTCTGTGGACAGCCCAATCTTGATATGGAGCCGTTGTTGGTGGGACTCTTGCTGGATCACAGATTTGGCAAAAGATTACGTATCCGGATGATCCATGCATGTAATGTCACTCGCCGGAAATCACCCATGATGGGGCCAGAGCAGGGAAACGAAACAAGTGCCAATACGGGATCCCAAGTTTTTGCCAACGATCGAATCGAATGCGAGTTCGGTGGGTCGGGTACCCCTTTCACGCGGGCACTGCGAGTTAACGTTCCGCGCGCACACCCGAGCCACAGAAGCCCTGGCATTCCTTGCCAAAAGGAAAAGCGAGAGACATTGGTGCCGCGCACGCCCCAGCACGGTACGAAAATAGGTAATGATTTTGTCCGAAGGCACTGCGAGAGCAGGCACCACGCAGACCGCCCTGTTAGGGTCTACACATATAGGGATCCTGTCCTGCGAAAATCACGACCCCCTGGAAATCATAGGGTCCAAGGGACACAATACAGGGCAACAGTATCAGCGAACTAGGTGGGGGCGGCCTCCCATCCTTGGGAAATTGGTTTCAACCGCACAAAATAATGAGTTGGCACAATTATACAATTCAGAAGAAGCGTGTCTCATCCGTGACCATGGCCAAGGGCCCACAGCTATCTTTATACCCATCAGGACCCTGAAATGGGCCCTGTGCTAGGACCGCCTGCGATGGGGCAACACATGCAGCATTTGGCCCACGGCAAAAACAGGCACCCCATCTGGCGCACGAGCCCACTCACAGCGCAGAGCTGCCGGCGCAGGACGCTCCATGACACCAGGAGTCCTCAGCAGCCACGCGGCCAGAAGGAGCCTCATGGCTGGACGAAGTAGCTAGCTCCCTAGATTTACTCGGGTGCGCTTCGAGGGAGGCATGGAGGGAGCAGGAGGCTTGGAATGAGGCCAACAGAGTGGCGGAATGATATCGGAGTAGAGTTTGCGTCGAACCACGCTTGCGCGGACTGCGGCACAGGCTTAGAGTCCTGGCGCTGCACCAGCAGCACATTAGATGGTGCCCATCAGCGGGAGAGTCTTGCATTGTTTTAGTCAGGGGAAGAGCAGGAGGCGATTGAGGAGACGCTTAGCATTTGCAGGATGGACGGGAAGTAAGGAGAGAAGATAAGGGGTGAGAGAGGAAGAAGAGAGAGGAGGAGCAGCATCAGGTCGAGGAGGAGGGAATGATGTGGAGGAAGAGGGCGTTGAGCTACTCAAATTGTTGACGCTTCGCGAATCCCCACCAAAATGGACGGACTCCGAATGGACGGGCTCCGAATGGAAAGGAGGAGGCAAGCTATACTCCCCGCGTGAAGACCACCGCGACGCGGAAAACGAGGCCGCTGGTGGGCCAAGAGCGACTCCTCAGCCTAAGGAGGACTCGTTTCCGCCATTGGACTACAGACCGTGGCAATCCCCACCGCCCAGGTACACGCGCCACAGCGACGTCTCCGGGTTTTCCCCACCACATCCCGCCATCCCTGGCCCCAGCTGGGCCCGTTTCACCTCGCTGCGCCCGGCCCAGGCCGTAATACCCTGGGCCGCCCTCCGCTGGGGCGGGGGCTCCCCCCCCTCTCTCCCTGGCGCAGCTTAGCTAGATAGCCTTCGTTGGCTAGAGGCGCGTGGCCAGCGCACCCCCCGTCGCCCACCCGCACCTTTCGGACGCGTCGTCGGGGCTATCCCCACGTGGGCGCCCGACCCATCTCACCACCACTTGCACCCCTGGGCCACGGCTGGCCCACGTCTGTAGAGGCCTCGGCCACCCTGGAAGCAACTGCCCGAAGACGGCAGACGGTCCCCGCAGCACCCTGGACTGGAGCTGAGCCGTCACAGCTACTCCTCCCTCCAGTCTGGATGCAGGCACGGGAAAGGCCCAGCTTGGGTCTCAGTTTTGGCGCGCCGCAGGCGCAGAGTCGGATCAGCCCGCCGCTGGGACAGGGCGGCTGCGTAGCTGGGGGAATCTAGCTCGTACCGTTGCAGTCGTGCACTCTGTCACGGAGAGGCGAGGCTGCCGGTCAGAGGCGGGCCACTCGCGCTGCGACAGGGGCTGGCCCCTGTACCATCTCATCACTGAGCAGCCGTTAGCTGCACCCCTGGTATCCCCGACACGCAGGCAGGGGCTGCGCTGCTTGCATTGCCGAGGGTTCCCTTCGTATCATACCCATTGCAGGCTTAGCCTTCCCTGGAACGCTCCGCCCTCTCTCCCAACCCTGAGCAGCCGTGAGCTGCATCCCTGGATCTCGTCTACCTAACCCTGAGCAGCCGTTAGCTGCATCCCTGGAGTTCGGGCCCAGGTTTCTGCCCTTCCCATGTCCCCCTCCTCGCCTGGCCTTGGTGTGCCCCTCTGTGTGGAGGGCCGGTGATGTCCGTCCCCGCCGCCCCTCCCATCGGGCTGCCCCCTCCTCTACCCATCCCTGAGCAGCCGTTAGCTGCATCCCTGGAGTTCAGGCCCTCGCCAGGTTTCCCTGGGAGCATCTCCGCGTGGAGGGTCGGTGATGTCTGTCCCCACCGCCCCTCTCCTCGGGTCCCTCCCGGGCTGGGCAGGCTACCGGGTTCACGTGCCCCTGGATCGCGGGGGTGACCGTTCTCGGTGCAGCTCCCCTTGGATCCTCCTGCCACGCTGGCGATGATCATCCCCGCCAGCCCAGCCGTCACACTCAGTGCGACCTCCCCCCCGCCTTGGCAGCTGTTCTGGGGCCAGACCCGCAGGGCTCGCCACAGGGCCGGCGCCCCGCGTGCTCGGGCTGGCGGGCCCCGGGACCCAGTGGTCGCCTCGGAGTGGTTCAGCTTTCCGTCAGTCACTGCGCCCCCCCCGGACCCGTCCCAGCCTTTTAGGCAGGCGTTCGTCGTCACCTCGGCAGCTTGGCGACCCAGTCTGCACGCACCGGTGGTACGGACCTGGACTTGGCGCCCCGCCGGCGACTCGTTCTGCGTCCACCTTGCCCGTACGTCCTCCTGGCGTGTGAGGGCGTATCTCGAATTTTCTGACATTTTGTCGGCTTGCACGATGCCCGAGCTTCCCTGGGTGTTCTCAGCCTGCCAGCCTCAGCAGCACAGCACGGCGTTGTGAGCTGACCCGGCCGGCCCGCTGCGCGCCCTGTTGCTAATTAGGCTCGTTTCCGCGCCCCGGACCGTCTCTCTCGCCGCTTGCGCGCTCGCTTGCGGCCGCGACCGAAAAGAATCCCCACCAGCCCATCCAGAAGCGATGCCCAGAGGAATTGCCTCGATCAGGGAAGCGGGCAGCACACGGAGGAAGGGTCCGCCAGTGGAGGTTTCTTGGAGCGTCTTGGGGGCCTCTTGGCGGTCCCGGACGCCTCTTAGAGCGTCTTGGGGGCCTCGAAGAGCTTTTTGGGGCCTCTTGGGGGTCTCTTGGGAGCCTCTTGGAGGCCTCTTGGGCGCCTGTTGGGGCCTCCTGGACGCCTCTTGGGGCCCTCTTGAAGCGCTCTTGGGAGCATTGGGAGCGCTCCTGGAGCCCTCTTGGGCCGTCTTGGAGCCATCTTGAGGCCTCGGCGAGAAAGCCAAAAACACTGATTTTCCAAAGGTTTTGGAAGGATGTTGGCCTCTTCGGGGCCTCTTGGGGGAGCTCTTTGGCCACTTGGAGCCGTCTTGGAGCGGTCTTGGGACCTCTTGGAGCATCGTGGGCGCCATCTTGAGGCATCTTGGGATATCTTGAGCCATCTTGGAGATCATCTTTGGTTCTCCCAGGCGCTCTTGGAGTCATCTGAAGCAGTGCCCCCCCGCCAGGAGGGTGGCCAAAACCTTGGTAAAATCAGCGATTTTGGCATTGTCGCCGAGGCCTCTTGGAGCGTCTTGGGTGCCTCTGGAGGGCCTCGTGGGGCCTCGTGGAGGTCTCTTGGAGGTCTCTTGGGAGCCTCTTGGGGGCATCCTGGGGACCTCCTGGGGGCCTCTTGGGGCTTCCTGGCCACCTCTTGGGGCCCTCTTAGGGCACCCTTGGGAGCCTTGGGGGCCATCTTTGGGCAATCTTGGGTGAGATCGATCACAGGAGGGGGGGTACTAATTACAGCCCCCCCCCCCAAGGAGGCCAAAATGGGGCCAAAACCCTAGTAACATCGATTTTGGCTTCCTCGCCGAGGCCGTTTTGGACGCTCCGACGACTCGCGACCCCCCCCGTCCAGGTCCATGGGGAGGGGGGTAGGGGGAGGGGTAAACCACTCCCCGAAGGGGAAGAAGGAGGGGTGGAAGAGGAAACTCCCTAAACCACCGACGCCCAGAGGGCTGGTGGGATATCGAATGGCGGCCACTGAAATACGCAAGGAATGACATTTGCACTTGATGCTCCGAATGGGCAATACTTCAGGCCCTTGCTCGCTCAGGTTGTACGTCGGTTCTCGGCCGCCTAGCATTCCAATGGTTTCTGGGAGAGTCGTATTTCGGACGGTTTCGAAAGAAGTTGACGGGGTGTTAAAGCGGGGTAGGAGAGGGCGACTTAAGCACCGTAAGGCATACAATTGAGTTGTCAACACACGATACACCGAAAACTGTGCCAGAGCAACTCCGACAGGCAATGGCAGCATTTGCGATTGCCACTGCCTGGATGGAGGCCCCACGGGGGGATGACCAATCTGTACGAATCTCCCGTTGCCACGCGACGGCTTGGCGGAGGAGCACGAGGAGGAGATGCAGCCAGGAAGTCTGGGGGACGGAGGAGAAGGAGGAGCAGGAACAGTAGCAGCAGCGGTGATGTCAGCAAAGGGCGTACGACAGTCGTGTCACCCCCGGGTCGGCATGCGACATACGCCATACGGCAGCGCGGTGCCCGCAGGACCCACGCTGCCCATCCGGCGGAGGCGCAGCAGCTACAGTGGCCAGCCACTCACCCACGAAAGGAGCAAGAGCGGAGCGCTTCCTGACATCAAGGAGCCACCACCGCCTCTCGTGGGGGCTCGGGGCGCGGCGGAGCAGAGGCGCGTCCCTTTCCATCCTCCTTTCCGCCTCGCCCTCCCAACCCACGTCCTCTTCTACTTCCCTGCCCCTCCCCTTCACTCTTTGACGCCCTCCTCGTACTTCCTTGCCGATCCCCCCCGTCCATCGCCTGCCCCGAGATCCCCTCGGCCCCCCATCGCTCCCCCTGCCAGCGCACCCGCTCCCCCTCGGAGGGCCCGGCGCCTCGCAGCGGGAGGGCCCTTTCGCGTGCCCCACGAGCCTCGTCGTTGGTCAGGAGGAAAAAACACACAGACACAATTAATCTTCGATTCCCCAGAAAATATGGGAAAATATGGGAAGTGGTGGGGAAGACAGAAACCCAGAAAATATGGGAAAATATGGGGAATATGTTTGTCTGTGTGTATTTATTTGTGTGTCCTGGGGCCCCTTCAGTTGGACCCGCTCGGGCCTCCGGGTCGCAGGCGGGGGGGCTCGGGACGGGCACACAAAAGCAGGCGGCCCGCTTGGTTGTGCAGTGTTCTTGCTTCCCTCCTTTCTGTTGTTCCTCCCTCCTCGTCGTCTTCCTCCTTCCCTCCTTTCTGTTGTTCCTTCCCTCCTTTCTGTTGTTCCTTCCCTCCTTTCTGTTGTTCCTCCTTTCCGTTGTTCCTTCCTCCTCGTCGTCTTCCCCTTCTGCCCGAGTCCGGGGCTATTGTAGGCGTTGCTGCCTTCGCTGGTGTCACCGTGCAGTCTCTCCCCACGCCCTGCGGGGTGATCTCCTCCATCTCTTCGCTCTGCGCTGGATCTATATTTTTTAAAGGAAAAAGAAGAGAAACAAAAAAAAGCGGCCCGTGTATGAACGACGATGAAGACAACAGCAGTAGGCACAAACTCCGGTGGTTCGAGTCACGCGCGCAACTCTCGGGACGTTTCGAGGCCCGCTTTGTGGCTCCTCCTAGGCACTCTTGGAGTCATCTTGCCGCAAGATTCTTGCGCCGAGAGTCCTGGGAAACCAAGGGGGCCAGCCAAAACAAATCTCAGGAACTATCGCGCGGATGTTTGAATTACGTTGGTCTTTGTGGGGGCCTGTTGGCCTTCTTCTTGGTGCGTTGAAAGCTTCTTGCAGTCACTTTAAAGCCTCTTGGGGTCTTCTTGGGGTCTGTTGGGCGCCTCTCGAGGCAATGTCAGGCCATCTTGGCGGCCTTGGTGGCCTTCTTTCGTCGTCTTGCGAGCTTTCGAGAGCCCCTGGAGCACGTCGGGCCACCCAAAGAGCCGTGGGAGGGAGGAACTCACGCAGGGAAGCGTGGATAGGAGAGTGGCCTCAGAAGAATTTCAGAAACACTGCCAGACAGCACTTGGCATCCTACCATGCCTCAACGTGCCAGCGGGCACGGCGGAGGGGATCAATGATTGATCCACCAAGAGGCAACATAAATATGCATAGCGGTTGTTATGTTAAGCAGCATGGACCCCAAACAGTGTGTTCTAGCATCCAAACGCAGTGCAATTATATGCGGTGCAAAATTTGCGGTGCCGCATGCGTGGTGCAATTTACGCAGCACAATCTACACAGCAATTTGCTTATACATATGACCAGCTTAGGCCAGCGTAGGCCAGGCCGTCCGAGTCCTCTGATAGTCGGATGACAGGCCACGCGGCAGACTGCAATTCTATGTTTGACTGATCCGTATGTCAAGAAGCTTATACATTTGGTACCATATATGTGGTGCAGGCTATGTTGTGCAAACAACGTGGTGGCGCAAGCTATTCGGCACAATCGAAGTGGGGCATTTGATTTTTATCCATGATTTGACACATCCCACGCTCTTGCAAACATCCCACCCACCCACCCGCAACTTGGTTTGCAAAACCTCTTGAGACCGACTACGACGACACCGACGACAACGACTACGACGACACCGACGACGTCTCCGACGACTTCGACGACGACAACGACGCCGACGACCACGACGACGAAGACGACGACGACGACGACGCCAACGAAGACGACGACGAGGGAGGAGGAAGGACGACGACGGCGACAACGACGACAACGACGACAACGACGAGGAAGGAGGGAGGACGGCGACGACGCAAACGACGAAGAAGGAGGAAGGACGGCGACGCCGACGACAACGACGAGGGAGGAGGGAAGACGACGACGACAACGACGGCGACGACGACGGTGACGAAATAGGAGGGACGATGACGAGACGCCGACGACGGACGACGACGACGACGAGGAGGGAGGAGGAGGAGGAAGGACGACCACGGCGACAACGACGACAGAAACGACCACGACGCCAAAGAGGACGACGACGACGACGACGAACACGAGGAAAGACAGGACGACGCAGGCGACGACGACGACGACGACGCGGGAGGAGGGAGGATGGCGACGACGACGACGACGACGACGACGCAAGAGCGCGCGCGCACTCTTTTGTTGAAAATCCGTGTTGCGAAACCTTGTGTTTATGTACGTTTTTGGGACACGATTTTGAAATCCTTCCGAAACCGATGGGTTTTTGAAGGTTTTTGGCATACGCGCGCGACGGCGCGCGCGTCTGCACTTCGTCCCTTTCTGTTGCAAAGGATTCTCGCGACGGCACACGCGCAAGGGCGCTCGACAGATTTCGACATGCGCGCGCGAAGCCCGTTTAATAGCATGTTGTGAAAAAATTGAAATTCTATGGTTGTCTTAAGATTTCACAAGAGCTCGCGCGGAAGCTTTTTTAGCAAATCAGCGTTGCGAAACCATGTTGTATGTTTTTTGTTTGGAAACTCGATTGCGAAATCCTTCCGGCATCGAAGATTGTTGAAAGATTTCGGCATGCGCGCGCGACGACGCGCGCGTGTGCACTTCGTCCCATTTGTTGCAAGGACTCGCGAAAAAGTGCTATGTTAGAACAAAAAGTGTCACCGCATTAGTGTTTTTGTACAAGGGAACCTCAGGGGGGGGAACCCGGCCCCCCTGGGATAGTGTAAGTTCATTAGGATGAACATGTGGTCAGAATCATACATGATTTGCGTACCCGAAAGGGGGACCAATAACGGCGGGGGGGGGTAGAGTCTATTCTTCTTAGAAAGGAGAATTGATGTGTCAAAACGAGTTGACAAATCCCGTGCTCTTGCAAACATCCCACCCACCCACTTGCAAGCTGGTTTGCAAATCCCACTCGGCGGCGATTGCAATGAGTGCTTGGCGTTGGCTGGCGCATCTCTGCGGCCGCGCTAGCCCGCGCATGCTCGCGCGCACGGCGGTCAGATAGTTTGGCACGACCGACGCGGCCGCGGTGGCGCTGACCGCCGGGCACTTCCCAGCGGGCACTTCAGTGCGAGTCGGTGGCTTGGGCGGGCGCGGCATCATGGCGACGCCGACAACGGTAGACGCGATGATGATGGTAGCGATGTTTGGTGACGATGGTGCCGATGGTGACGATGACGACGGCGACGCCAATGACAGCGCCGATATTGATCACGCCCGCCGACAACGATGACGATGTCTTCGCGTTGGCGATGAAGGTTTTCATGGACTTCGACATGCGCGCGCGGCCGACGCGCGCGACTGGCCAGCGTGGTATTATTTGACACGGATCGCGCACCCCCCCCCGCAGCCCGCGCGCGAGGGCTTTCGAATGAATTCGACAATTGCGCGAGAGGCCCGTTTGGCAGAATTGGATGAACACGTTGGACAACCAATGGATTTCTTACGAATGCGCAAAAGTGCGCGCAGGCTTTGTTGAAAACGGAAGTTGCAAAACCGTGCGTTGTTCTATGTGCTCGGGACACTTGTTTTTGAAACCCTCGCGAAACTTACGGTTCCAAATGATTTTGGCATGCGGGCGCGACGACGCGCGCGCGTCGTTCCTTTTTGTGCAAGGGGTTCTTCGCGCAATGGCGTTCGAGCCATTCCGGCATGCGCGCGCGAGGGGCCCTTTTGATAGCATTTCATGAGCATGTTAAAAACCGATGTGCTTCCCCAAAAAATCCCCAAGAGCCCGAGCGCAAGTTGCTTTGGTGGTAAATTCGGGTGGCGAAATCATGTGTTCTTATATGTTCTCGGGACACTCGGTTTTGACATCTCTACGAAACCTGAGGTTTCTCAAGGGTTTCCGCCAACGCGCGCGACGACGCGCGCGCGCTTCCTACCGTTTTCTGTTGCAAGAGATTGTTGGAAACTGCTGATTGTTAGAAACGAGTATGCATGCATAGTATATGTTGCAAAGGATGAGGGGGGAACCAATAACAGCTTGGTTGGATGATACGAGTTCATATTTAGGATGGACGATGGGGCAACAACATTTGCAACATACATTACGACAAGGTGGCCCGTTAACCGCGGGAGGGGGTAAACCCTTATGTATATATATATATGTGAAAAGAGAATCTACGCAGTACAACATACGTGGTGCAATTGATATGGTGCACAACCGAAGTGGTTCAATTCACGTCGACAAATTTGAAATTGACAACTCCACTGCTCGCGCAATCATCCCACCTACCCACCCGCAACTTGTTTTGCAAAACCCATGCGGCGGCGATTGCGATGATCGTCAGGTGCTGGTTGGTGCATCGCTGCGGCCGCGCTAGCCCGCGCACGCTCGCGCGCACAGCGGCCAGATAGTTTGGCGCGACGGACGCGGCCGCGGTGGCGCTGACCGCCGGGCACTTCCCAGCGCGCTTCGCAGGCCGCGCTGACGCGCGGGCCCTTCAGTGCGAGTCGGTGGTTTGGGCGGGCGCGGCACCATGAAATCGTTGACAACGGCCGAGACGATGATGATAGTAACGATGATGGTGACGATGATGACGATGACGACGGCAAGGCCAAAGACGGCGCCGATGTTGGTCACGCCGATGACGATGATGGTATCCACGCGTCGGTAATTAAGGTGTTGGAAAGATTTCGGCATGCGCGCGCGGCCGACGCGCACGAGCGGCCGGCATTCTAGCATTTGACGCGGACCGTGCCCCCCTCCTCCCCGCAGCACGTGCGCAAGCGCGGCCTAATGATTCTGACATGCGCGCGCGGGAGGCCCATTTAGTTGCATGTGATGAAATGGTTGCCAAACCGATGGTTCCCTTAAGACTTTGCACGGGCACGCGCGCGGACATGTTTTGAAACGTCGCGTCGCCAGACCACGCGTTTTATTTCTTCATTCGGGACATTCGATTTTGAAATCCGTGCGAAACTTCTGGTTGATGAAGGATTTCTGCACGCGCGCGCGCGACAACGCGCGCGTGCGCATGTCGTCAAATTGTTTGCAATGGGGTGTCCGAAAATTGTTCGTTGTTGATGAGCGACTGCGCGCGTTTTTTTTTTGCAACGGGTGACGGGGGGGTCGATGCCAGATGGGCTGGGATGGTATGAGCTCGTATTTCGAGTGAGCGATGAAGCAAAATCATTGGGGAATTGCACATCCCCTGGGCGGGAGGATCATCCCGGGTGTGGGGGGGGGATGCTCGGTGCGAGCTCTCTTTTACGAAGGAGAGACCATGCAGCTCAATCGATCGATGCCGTGCAAGCGGTCGATTGGACTGCAACCGATTGGATTGCACCCGCTTGGATTGCCATCGATTGGGTTGCCAGGGCGTGAAGGGTGCAACGGGGCGGCGGCCGCGGGCGGCGACGGGGCAGTGACGGCGCCACTGCGGCGGCGGACCCAACGAACGAGCCCATAGCACGGGCGGCGGCGAGGCGGCGGAGGGTCGGCGACGGGGCGGCGACGGCGGCAGCGGCGCGGCGGACCCGACGAACGAGCCGAGTTCCTCGAGAAGCAAGGAAGAGCCCTAGCAAGCACTGTTTGGGGAGGAAGGCACACAGGCTTGCCCAACATGAATCGGGCTTGACCCAGTGTGTGGTCTTCTTTCTCCCCAAGCAGCTTCAGCAGTCATGAGGAGCGCAAAGCAGCGCAATGCAAAGCTTTGTTTGGCATTGCCTTTGCATTGCTTGGCATTGTTTGGTTTTGGTTTGCATTGTTTGGCCTCGCTTGGCTGTGCTTGAAGTTTGTTTGCGTATCTTGGCATGTATTGACGTTGCTTGGCATTGTTTGGAGCCGTTGCTTGGCATTGGTTGCCATTGCTTGGCAGTGTTTGGCGTTGCTTGGTAATGCTGGCGATCTTTGCTTGACACTGCTTGGCATTGGCATTTCATTACGTCGCATTGGTCGGTATTGTTTGGCATTATGTTGCGTTGTTTGGTGTTGCTTGGCACTGCTTGGCATTACTTGGCATCTCTTGGCATTGCTCGACGTTGCTTGACATTGCTTGTAGTCGTTGCTCAGCATTGCTTGGCATGTGGCATTGCGTTGCATTGCTTGGCATTGCTTGGCGTTGCTTGGCAGTGCTTGCAATCGTTGCTTGGCATGTCTTTGCGTTGCTTGGCATTGCCTGACATTGATTGGCGCTGGGTTGCATTGCTTGGCATTGGCAACCCCGAGGAATCCCGAGGAATCCTGGGCAATTCTGGGAGCCAGGAAGCCTCCGAGGAATTGTGGGCACCCTTCGGCTTGTCCCGCAAACAAGTGAGAACCCATTAGGCACAGCCTAGTTGGAGAATGCTAGAACTCTTCAGCGCAATCGATCAGCCATGCTAATGATTTGCTCAGTGTGATAGAGGGCTGGTGGCATTGCGCGTACGGTCTTGTGGCTTCGGATATCGGGGCCAGTGGCCTTGGGGCACACTGCCCGGTGCCATTGTGTATCCAGGCCAGTGGGGCTGGGCATGGGGGCACGTACTCCTACAACAAGACTCGCTGGCTCTGCCTCCGTTGTCCTCCTCCTTGCCGGACTGCTCCCATCCCCCTCGCTGGCCTCAGCGAAGGAGAAGCACTCGTTCGAGGAGGAGGAGGAGGACGGACCCGCGAGCTGCCCCGTGTTCCGGCGGCCTCGGAGGCAGCTGAGCCGCTGGGAGAAGTCTGTTTTTCCGAGCCCCGTCCCCCTCGCGCTCGCATCCCCGCACCCTTATCCCTGCCTCTCGCCCGTTCTTGTGTTTCGCCTTCACCCTCCATCTCCCCCTCCCCACCCGCCCCTTCTCAATCCCCCTGTCCCTTCACGCTTACAGAATACGAGTACGACTTTCTTCTCTCCCGTGAAACTGGCGGGGTCCTTTCTCGACGCTCCGCATTATTGTTTTCGATCGGGTCGCTTTTGTCTTTTAAAACGGTGTTCCCGCTTCAGCATTGGCCAGCCACCTTTCAGGACCCGCGATTTGCTCCCGTCCTTCAGAATGGCGCTCTCGCCCCAGCGCGGCCCACATTTGTGGATCCGACTCTTCCCTCGTCGTTGCCACCACCCTCCTTTTCCTCTCAACCTTCCCCTGGTCTTCCCGCTCCCCCTACTCCTGCTCCTGCTGCTGCAGATCCCCCTTCCTTCATCATCGTCTTTCTCCTACTCATAATCATGCTCATCAGCCATTTCTTCCTCAAAGGTACAGCCCCCCTCCCTTGTTTGCTTGTGCATCACACGATGTGGCCGCCTGGGGGCCAAAGTCATCTGGGACACCCCCTTCCGTGGACACAAAAAAGCTCAGCGTAATGGGAAGGGGGTGGATGTGAGGGGTGGGAAGTCAGATGCGAGTGCGCCTAGCGTGACATAGATATTAGCGACGTTGCCAGGACCGACAGCAAAGGATTGTCTACCACTTCGGCGTTCCTACAGCTGCCACTCACTCTTCGTGGGGGCCACGAAGGATATATGCTGACCCTAGTACTCGTCCATCGAACCAGGCGCACCTTGAACCGCATCGACCGAGCACGCGCCAAAGCGAAGCTCGAGGCTCGATCAACGAGCGACACTTCCAAACACAGCAACAGGCACGTCCGGCTAAGCTTGCGGGTGAACAGAGTGCCGGCCCCGTGGTGTGGGGTTGAAAGCGATGACGCGGCGAGTGCTGGCGCGGTGCCGCGCAATGACGTGGTCAAACGTTGGCGCAAGACGAGTTTCATCCACATGCTGCTAAAGACAGGTTCGGTGTTCGCGCTGAAGGAAGCACATTGACATGGTCCCCACCCAGATTTGCAAGCTGCGTTGCAGATGGCTCACCTTCCTCAAGCGCGTTTCGCTGTCATCCCTGGCGGTTCCAATGACGGCGTTGCAGACGATTGGGAATCCTTCATACGCGTGGCGGCGGCACCGACGGGGATAAAGGGGCAGAAGGCGATCAAGCCCCATATACAGCCACAGAAGCCGAGAATGACAATTTGATTACATGGTCTAGGCGGGATCCCGTTCTATAGAAGCGCTCTTATATCATATGCTGGGGTACCAGGAGCCTGGCCCTGGGCCGGCACACCCTCTCGGATTTCCCCCCCCTTCCATTTTGGCGCCGGGAGTTTGGACCTTCCTCTGGGGCCTTTTGGCCCCCCAGCGGGCCAAAACAGTTCCAGAGACCACCAAAAAACGACCAGAGCGGCTGGGCCGAAGACGCCCGAAGACTGCTTCTGGGCCCCGAAGACACCCAAAATGCTCCTTGAGAGGGCCCCAGGAGGCCAAAAGTGCCACATCCCTTTTTGGGAAAACATGCATGTTTTGCATATTCGTTCTTTGGATGATGAGAGCGTCCGAAACGCCCCAAGAGGCCCCCAAGGTCGCAGGGGCGCCCAAGACGGTCTCAGAAGCCGTAGAGACGGGCCCAAGATGGGCCCAAGAGGGGGGGCATGAACCGAAATTTCGAGTTTTTCGGCCCAAGAGGCTCCCAGGAGGAAGAAGGCCCCCAGAGGCTGCCACGAGGCTCCAAGAGGACCCCAAGAGCCCCCCACGACGCCCCAGAAGGCCCCAAAACGGCCCACAAGAGGCCAAACAACGGCCCCAAAGAGGCCCACGCCAGGCCCCCGCGAGGCCTCCTTCGACATCCCTCCTACCACTCTCATGGGTTTTGACCCACTACCCAGGCACGGTCGCGAAATGGGTCGAAGGCCATTCCGGTCTCTTTCGCACACCCTCTGCGCTACTTCTCACACTCCTTGACGTGGCCTTCCCAGCTCCTACATGTGTTGCTGTTATTAAACACCCCCCCATTTCATTTCCAAGCTTCACCACCATCTCACGATTTTCGAGCCGTTCCATCTGGCTGTCACTCGGTCTTTGCAGCCTCATGTGGGGCACCCTGGAAACCTCCACGAGGACTCCAACACGGCCCACATCAGCATATTCCCAGACAGCCTTCCGGGAACATGATTGTCGCCGCCAGTCCGACGAGGTGACCGAGGAGGAGGAGGAGGAGGAGGAGGAGGAGGAGGAGGAGGAGGAGGGTCCGCGCCATCCCACCAGACACTCCAATTCAGGTTGCCCGGGGACCCGTTCACAGCGGAACCGGGATCGGGCCCGCGGCCCCGCTCCGACTGTACTCGGTATCGAGGGTGTTGCTTGCAACGTCCGCTCTCCTCTGCGAGGCCCCCAAGAGGCCCCCAGAGGTCCCCACATGTCATATGTAGAAGGAAGGTGGAGGAGGCAGAGGAGAAGGAGGGGGAGGTGGAGGAGGAAGAACACAATAGGCTTCACACCTCATGTTAGTCTAACGTAAAAGGAGGAGGAGGAGGAGGAGAAGGAGGACGAGGACGAGAAGGAGAAGGAGGAGGAGGACCAAAACCGAGCCCAGACACCCTCCCAGATTTCCCCTTCCTTTGGTCCACGACATTTTGACCCCTTCCGGAGCCTCCCGGGCCCCCCCCCCCGCGCCGCTCAAACAGCTCCGGAGGCTGCCAAAAAGCGACCAGAGTGGCTTGACAGGGCCGAAGACGCCCGAGTAAGATTGTCAAATAGACCCCGAAGACGTCCTTAAAAGGCTCCAAGATGCGCCCCGACAGGGCCCCACATGAGACCAAAATTGCTTCGCCCCATAAGCAAGCGATTTGTTCGGCGACGAAACCACCCTTGCTCAGTCATGTGGAGCGCAGAGCGCAGGTCTCTCTTCATACACTGCGCGCAGCGGGGCAATGCGAAAAGATGGCTGCTGCGGAGTACGCGTGCACAGGTGCGCTGAACTCTTTGTGGAGCGCGATCCGCGTGAAGGGTGTCCGAATAATTCGGATGCCCCCGCGCGAACACGCCCACTGAGGCGACAGGTGGACCTCCTCCGGGCACGACCCGCGCGAGGCATGTTCCGAAATGGGCAGCGGGACGCCATGCGAAGCTGCCAAGTGGTGCCATAGGTGGAGCTCCTTCTTGGCCATGATTCACGTGACCGGTGTGCCGACATGGTCGGGGAGGCGTTGTACGAATTTGGTCTCTGGGCCTTTAGGTGGTGCTCCTTGTGGGCAAGATCCACGTGATGGGGTTGTGCGGTAATGGCCAGAGGAGCGGGGGCGCGCAGTGCGAACCCTGCCTCTGGGGCCGCAGGTGGAGATCCCTGTGTGCCACGATCCGTGCGCGAGGTGTGCCGAAGTAGGCGGGGGGCGGGATGCGAACCTGGTTTCTGGGGCCGTCCGTGGGATTCTTTGCGGCCACGAGCCATGTGAGAGGTGTGCCGAAGTGAGCTGGGCGACGCTATGAAGCTTCCCTCTGGTGCCACACATGCACGTACTTGCGGGGCACGCTCCACCTGAGGAGCGTGCCATTCAGCGAACCTTGTCTCTGGGGGCGTAGGTGGAGTTCCCTGTTAGGAGCGATCCCTATGAGAGGTGTGCCGACATGGACGGGGGGCGCTGAGCCAAGCTTGTCGCTGGGGCCGCAGGTGAAGCTTCTTGAGTGGCACGGCCCGTGTGGCAATATATGTCCTCCGATGCCGAACACTTAGGATCACACGTGGGGAGTTCCAGAACCTAAGCGCGCGCGTGGTTCTAGCGTGTATACATATTTATGTGTAATTGTGTGAATGCATATGTATACACGTATATACATGCGGCTACTGGCAGATGTACCACTGGTCTAATTATGTGTGCTTGTAAATCTAAACGTGTGTGTGTGTGTGTGCGTGCGTGCATTGCCTGGGTGACTCATGCATCCCCACCGTAGTTCTACGATGTTGACATCGACGTTGGTTCCGGCGCTGCATTGCAATTTACAGTTAGATTTGCATGGCGATCGCCATTGGATCGCCATTGGATGTGCACGTCGATTTGAATTTCGACGTGCGTCTCGGTGTGCGTGTCGATTTGTTGTTCGGTTTGCAATTCGACGTGCAGCTAGACTCGCATAGATTGCTACATGTTGATTACAATTGGAGTAGCACGTCGATGTGTATGTCGATGTGCATTTCGATTGAAGTCTGAGTCACAGTTCTATGCACATGTTGTTTGTGCTTCGACGATCATATTGACAGCAATGGAATTTGCATGTCGATGTGCATTCGCATTCCGTTTGCCATTGGATGTGCATCTAGATCTAAATCTATATTTCCCACGTACCACTGACGCGACAACCATGGGACAACCCGCGGGGCAACCTACGAGAAAACCCGCGAGACAGCCCACGGGACAACCACAGGACAACCCACGGGACAACCGCGGGACAACCCACGGGACAACCGCGTGGCAACCGCGGGACCACGGCGAAGCACCGCGGGACTGGAGCAGGAATTGTTGCCACTATTTGGCTCTTCGCGTGGGCCGACACATCGGCGTCTTCGCGCAGTCTCGCCTCGCCCGCACACTCGACACGAACCGAAACCAGAACCCGTACCTATAATACCACCCTTGGGGTGATAAGGAGGTTGGAGGGGATGGGTGTGGCTTTTTGATTTGCGGTTGGCGACGGACTGAGTTCGCGATTGATCGATTGATCTGGGTATATGTGTGCATATATATGTATGTACATATATAAGTATCTATATATACACTTACAGAGAAAAAGGATAACAATGTTCATATCTGTGGGTCCCACGATCTGTCTATCGAGCTCATTGCCAAATACATGTGGCCGTCGCGATGTACCCCGCTGTGTCTCACTACAAACATAGATTTGTATGTTGGCCCCAGCGCAGCAATCTCAATGGATCCACCTCGCTATCATTTGTTCGGTCTTTTTGCATACCTGTAGCCTGGACAGCCATGGGACGCGTGACAACCGCGGGTAACCACGGGACAGCCAGGGGGACAACCACGGGCCATGGGACAGCCACGGGACAACCGCGTAACAACAATTGGTTGGGACAACCGCCGAACACCCATGGGACAGCCACGGGACAACCGCCGGGCAACCAAGGGACAATTCCACTCACACCCCAGAGGCCGACTCATTTTGGCGTGATTCTGGGCCTAGTTGATTCAGGAATTCGCGCTGCATCGCCTTGCCCGCGCGCACGGCACGAGCCGAAACCGAAACCGATTTCCCAGTTTTGGCGACTCCGTTTCACTTCGCTCCCACCCCCCAACTTCCAATCCAGGTTGGGGTCGTTTCATTCTCACCCCCGAGCTTCGATTGTACACTCTCGATCCTGTTCTGCCCCGCGATACTCGCAGGCGCTCCTGCGTCGATCGCATCGAGCAAGATTCCCAGAGCCTGTGCGTGACGGGCGTGCGCCAGACTAAGGCGCGTGGGCGAGGAGGGAAAGAGAAGCCAGAGAGGATAAACCAACAAATGAATTGGCACAACGACGCCAAGGAACAGGGGATGCAAGTAGGAGGGAGCCAGGGATGCATGGGCCACAGGGCAGGAGGAGAGGAAGGGAGACAGAGAAAGAGAGATAGAGAGAAGCTACAGAGAAGGATGAACGCAGAGGAAAGGAACGGACAAAAAGTGGAGGAGAGAGAAGCACAGGGGCAGAAAGAGACAGGGGCAGAAGCAGATGGGCGGAAAGAGACAGGGCAGTGAGGGGCCGGGCGACCTCCTGCAGGGAGCAGGCTGCTCCCGCGGCCGCCCCCCGGGCAGGTCTGGAAGTCGCTGCAGAGGGCACTGGTGGACTCCAGCCCGACCAAGACGGAGGCTCGAAACTCGGCATCCACGTCCTCGGAGGCGCTGGGCGGCGACCGGCAGGGAGGGCTCAGGAGCTGGCAGACAGAAAGAGGCTGAAGTCTCCCGCCCTGGATCATCGCGAATGCGCAAATTATCGAAGACGCCTACTGCAAACCACCGCCGCCCCGTAGGGGCCTCTTGGGGGCCTCCTAGGGCCTCTTGGGACTTTTGGAGGCCTCTTAAGGGCCTCTTGAGGGCATGTGGGGGCCTCTAAGGGACATCTTGGCCTTGGGAGGCCGTATTGGGGCCTTCTATGGGCAGTCGTGGGGCGCTTTATTAGGGCCGTATTCAAGATTTATGGGTCCGTCTTGGGGGCCTCTTGGGCAGTCTTGGGGCCCTCTTGGGCCATCTTGCGGGCCTCTTGGGAGCCTCTTGGACGTCTTGGGGCGATCTTGGGCTGTCTGGGGTGCATCTTGGACCGTCTTGGATGCATCTTGGGACCATCTTGGGCTCTCTTGCGGTCATCTTGGCCGTCTTGGAGGCGGCTTGGGACCGTCTTGGAGGCCATCTTGGCCGTCTTGGGGAGATGTCTGTGGACGTTGGGGTCTTTGCGGGTTTTTCTGCGCGGCCGGCGCGACCGGCCGAGACCCCACTGGAAATTTGCAGCAAGGACCCAAACCATTCAGACATTTGGCACGCCGTGCATCCCTGTGGCAAGCCAACAGGGGGCGACGGATCGAAGACGCCTACGGCGAATCACCGCCGCCCCCTACCTCTTGGAAGCGCCTATGTGGCCGAACGTTGCAGCCAGAGCTCGGTTAAGCTAGCGGACTACGTGTTCCCCCAGCCGGTGTGGAAACCCTTCGGAGAACACGTAGGGGAGAAAGAAGCAGAGGAAGAGGAGGAGGAGGAGGCCTCTTGGGAGCCTTATGGGGCAATCTTGGGGCCTCCTGGGAGCTTCCTAGGAGCCTCTTGGAGGCCTCCTGGGGGCCTCCTTGGGCCTCTTGTGGCCTTTGGAAGCTCCTCGGGAGGCTATTGGGCCGTCTTAGTGCGTTCGTGGCCCGTCTGACGCCGTCGGGAGCCGTCTTGCGGGCATCTCGGGGCCGACTTGGGGCGCTTTAGGGACGTCTTGGAGAACAGCTTGGGTTTCTTGAAGGTTTCCTCGGCCCTTTGGGGGCCGTTTCGTGGGCCTCTTGGGCCGTCAGGGTGCCAGCTCAGAGGCCTCATGGGCGCTCTTGGGGCCATGTTGGTGGTCTGTGTGGCCGTCTTGAGGCATCGTAAAGCCGAAAACAAGCAAATACCAAAATATGTCGAATATATCGAAATGGTTATGTCCTCTTTGGAGGCCTTCTGGGGCCGTCTTGAAGGCATCTTGGACCGCCTTGGGCAATCTTGAGGCCGCCTTGGGGGCATCTCGGCCCGTCTTGGAGACAGATTGGGACCGTCTTGGAGGCAATTTTGGCCGTCTTGGAGGCATCCCTGCGGCCATATTAGGTCACCTTGGCCGTCTGGGGATTAGTGTGTACACACGTTGAGGTCTTTACGCGGCTCTCCGGGTGGCCGACGGGTTGGGCCGAAGGCACTAGGGAACCTTCAACAGGAAAAATTAGAAATAGCTGATACGTAGCACCCCGCAGATAGCTGATACCTGGCACGCCGTGCACCCGATGTGGCAAGCCACAGGGGGCGGCGGATCGAAGACGCCTACGGCCACTCACCGCCGCCCGCCCCCTGCCTCGTGGCCGAGCGTTGTGGCAAGAGCTCTGCCAAGCTATCGGACCATGTGTTCCCCCAACCGTTGTGGAAACCCTTAGGGCAACACTTGGGGGAGGATGGTGGGGAAGATCAGGGGGAGGAGGCGGAGGGGGAGTAGGAGGATGAGGAGGATGAGGTGGATGGGGCATCTTGGGAGCCTCTGGGGGCACTCTTGGGGCCTCTTGGGAGCCTCCTGGGGGCCTCTTGGAGGCATCTTGGGGGCCTCCTTGGGCCTCTTGGGGGCCTTTGGGGGCTTCTCGGTGGCCGTCTTTAGGTATTCCTGGCCCGTCTGACGCCGTCGGAAGCCGTCTTGGAGGCCTCTCTGGGCCGACGTGGGGCCCTCTTGGGATTCGTGTTCCCTCTCGTGGGTTCTTTTTGAGGCCGTCTTGGGGCCCTCGTGGGCCGTCTTGGGAGCCTCGTGGGCCGTCTCGGGGCCCTCTTGGGCAGTTTTGAAGCCCTCTTGGAGGCCTCTTGGGCAATCTTGGGGCGGTTATGGGGGCCTCGCGGGTCGTCCAGGAGCGCCGAGAAGCCGAAAAGGCGAGAAAGCAAAAAACCTTCAAGCATTTCAGGAATACCACTGATGTTGGCCTCTTGGCCTCTTGGGGCCTTCTTGGCCCGTCATGGGGCCCTTTTGGGTCCAAGAAAATCACGCGCCATGTTGTCCCAGAGCCCAGGATGTACGCGCCAAGCCCCACGAGATTTCGGAAAATTGAGGTCCGGGCCCCTTAAAGACTCTTCAGGAGTGAGGATTGCGGCTATGAAGACTGGGCCCAGGACCTGAGGACACGCCCACTCCTTGCCCAGCGGCACGGTGGTGGATATCACTGTCCGCCCCTGGAAGTGATATGCCGCCCTCAGAGCCTTCAGTGCAGGATACCACGAAGGTCAAAATAGAACTCCATCCAACCAGACCCCAATCGGATTCCAATCGGATCCTTGCAGGATGCCTAAGGATTCTAGAGGATCCCTGATGACTCCTGAGGATTTCAAAATGAGTCCTGAAGGATTCCTGAGGCCTCCTGCACGATCCCTGAAGATTCCTGCAGGAGGCCGTGCAGGATCCCGCAGGATTCCTGTAGGATTCCCGAATATGCAGGAAGGATTCCTTGAAGATTCCTGGAGGATTCTCGAAGGATTCCCGGAGGGATCCTGACGGACTCTTGGTAAATGTCCTTGAGGGTGTTTGAAGATTCTCAACGGATTCCTTGGGATTCCTGAGGATTCCGGAAGTGCCACCCCAGCCTCATCCCCCAATTGGTAAAACAGGCCGTTTTCCGTCCGCGTATTTGGTGCAGAAAATTACCTTCACCTCGCATTAACGAATTCTAACCACGAAATGACTCCAGCGAAAACCGCATGTTGAAATGTAAGCGACCTTCCCTCTTGTCTTATCCAACTGCAAATACAGCTACTGTTGCTCATACTACCAGGTCTCTACTGTCCAGAAGAGGTTGGGACAGGGGGCGCGTTTCGGAATACGGGTGCTGAATAGCGCAGGCAGTATAGGCGGGGGCGTTATTCCTGAGTCTGGAGTGCCCGTCAGGACCGCCAGGAAAGCCATGCGAAGCCAAGAATGATGCAACATGAATATGCATAGAAAGGGGCAGAGGTGGCACGGTAAATTCAATAGTGGGATTACATCGAACGTCGAACTAGTATGTTGAATTCTAGAAGGTTGCTCAGGTTATGTATTCTTTGATTGCCCAGAGGGAGAGGGGCGGGCCGATTTCGGAAGACGGGTGCCGAATAACGCGGGCGGTGCACGGGGGGAACGTTATTATTAGGATTGGAGTTTCCGTCAGGACCGCCAGGAAAACCACGCGAGGTCAAAGGCTAGCAATAAGAACCCGCATAGGGGGGAGGTTTGGTTTCGCGTTGGGATATGATCGGGGATGGCGCGTTGCATTGGAGTCATTGGCATCGCACCGCCTTGATTCACATTGTCCTGCGCTGCTTTGCACTGCTGCGTGTTGCTTTGCATCGGATTGCATTTTATTCTGCATCGCCTGACGTTGCTGCGCGATGGATATTTAGGCCCACCGCGCTGGATGCGCTTGGATTCCTGGTGGAAGCGGACCCCTGAAGACCCCAAGCGGATTCCTGAAGACCCCAAGCGGATTCCTGATGGATTCTCAAGATGTCCAGAGGAATCCTGAGATTATTGGAGGATCCCTGAAGACTTGGAGGATCCCAGAATATTATTGAAAGACTTGAAGGATTCCTGGGATATCCGCCGGATTACTAACGATTCCTATGGATTCTTTCAGATTTCTGGGGAGCATTCTTTAAAAATTCTTTGTAGATCCGTCCGATTGTTGCGGGTTCCTACGGATTCCTCCGGATCCCTGGAGATTCCATGGGGTTCCTGGCGGATTCCTGAAAGATGACGGTTTTTGAAAGAGCCTGCGGGTTTCTGGAGGACTCGCTATGGTTCCTGCAGATTCCTGAAGATGTTTAAGGATTTCGTAATGATTCCTGAAGGATTCCTGCGCGCTCGTGCTAGTTCCCGAATGGTTCCTGAAGATCCCTGCAGGATTCTCGAAGAATTCTTGAGCCCCCCCTTCCCCCGAGGAATCTGTGAATGAAATTGTTTGGGTGCTAACAATATCGTTCGGGTGTTACCCCTCCCCTCTGGAATTATTTGTTGTATTTTGACGGCTACGGACAACAGGGGAGGGATCGGTGATTGGAGTCGACGGTTATGTACGGATCAACGAAGACTTCGCCACTTGGGCCACACGCGAGGCTCGCTTAAAGGGTGTGCCGAAACGGGCGGAAGTACGCGTTCCCACTGAGGCCGTAGGTGGAGTTCCTACGGCGCGGCCCTCGTGAGAGGTGTACCAAAATGGGCGGCCCCGCCGCGCGGACCCTCCCACCGAGTCCGTAGGTGGAGCTCCCCATGGCGCCACGAAACGTTAGAAGGGTGCGCCGAAATGGACGGCGCCGCCGTCCTAACCCTCCCACTGGGGCCCGCTGAGCACGACTCGTGAGGGGTGCGCTGAAATTGGCGGCGCTGCCATGCGGATCCTCCCACTGGGGCCGTAGGTGGAGCTCCTGACAGGGCCGCGAAACATGTGAAGAATCTGCCGAAATGGGCGGCGCCGCCGCCATGCGGAGCTTGCCACTGGGGCCGTAGGTAGAACTCCCTCCATATGAGGCCACAAAACATGCCACGGGTGTGCCATAATTGCGCGCGGCGTCGCCATAAGTCGGGCGTCATTGAGACCGTTTGTGGAGCTCCCTATGGTGCCACGAAGCGTGCGAAGTGTGTGCTGACGTGCGGGGGTGGAGCGCCGGTTGGGGCCACGAAACATGCGAGGGGTGTGCCAGCATGGGCTACGCGTCACCACCCAGGGCTTCGGTGGAGTTCCCTGTGGGGCCGCAAGACGTGCGAGATGTGTGCGGAAAGGGGCTGGGGGACGTTATGCGGCATGACCCCCTGGGGGCTTCGGTGAAGCTCCTGATGGGGCCACGAAACGTGTGAGGGAGGGGGCGACATGGGCTGGGGGACGAAAAATGCGAGGATTATGCCGACATTGGCTTGGGGACGCTATGCGGCACCACCACATGAGGAGTTCAGCGGAGCCCCCAAATGGGGCCATGAAGCATGCGAAGGGTGCGCCGAAATTGACATGCAGAGAGCAGGGGAAGGAGGGAGGAGGCAGTGGGAGGGAGTGGAGCGCAGCGCTGCGGATTCAAAACGAGGACCTAACACCACAGGGCGATTGAGAACCAATGATGTGGGCATCGCAGGGCCCTCTTGGGTGGCCTCGTGGAACCCTATCGGGGCGTCTCGGAGGCCCCTTGGGCGGTCTGGAGGCCGTCTTGGGCGCCTGAAAAGCGATATTTGGGCGACCTGGTGCCCTCTTGAATGGTCTTGGGGGTCTCGTGGGCACTCTTGACCTGTCTGCGGGCCCTCTTGCCGACGGAAAAGGCATGCGACCGACCCTCAGGAGCGCCCAGCGGCGCCCAAGAGTTCCGGAGATCAGGGCTGAGAGCCACTTCTGAATCATGACTACAGAACTCAACGCAGAGAACTCGAAGGGACGACACGTCATGCCTCGAGGCTAGGTGGCGGATTCGCTTATATGTATTGATATTGTGTCCGCTGCTTATGTGTGCACACGTGCGTACGTGCTGGCGGTAGTGTTGTGACATAAACCATTGTCAACTGCTTGGCGAGCGGGCATATGCTGCGCATGCTCTAGTTTCACACGAGTAATGTCATCAGTCATGTAACAACCAGGCAGGCTTCGAACAAATAATCCAGCGCCAATGCTTACCCGGCTTGTTGTGATCCTGTATTTCGAATGCAAGCGACATTGCACATAGGCGCCGTGGGAATTGAAGTTGAGATTTGCGAACGTTTGTTTCTCTTGCATCCCGTCGTTATTCTCGATTGATTCGATTGACCCGCTCAGTGGAGCAACCCGCCTGAACACAAATCCGTTCCGAGGTGTTGCTGATGAGCCACGGTCTCAACAGCGACGACGAGGGGGACGCTGGCTCCGAGCTCGACCCGCGTTCAGCCCTGGCCCAGAGCCTCGACAAGGAACGCGCACTGGTCGGGCGCGACGAGGCCAGCCGACCAGGGAGCAGGTTGAAGGAAGGGGAGGAGGAGGAGGAGAGGCGAGGCCCCAGTCCAGCCCAGCACGTCCAAGCCACGAGGGGCCCTGCACACAGACGAAATCGATGAAGAGGATGGGCAACCTTCCCAAGGGTGCCCCTGCATCTTTTGCATGGAGGCTTGTGGTAGGCAGGGCCGGTGGCGTCCACATTTCTCATCGTACCTCCGATTGCTGCGCAAGGCGTAAGCCCTGCAGTTGCGGATTTGAGTGAGGCGCCGAATGAGGAGTCGGGGAGGGGCCGCGTAAGAACAGCGCAATATGTTGAGCTTCCCCAGACTCTCAGTGAGGCCGCCTTCCGCCTTCCGGAGGGTTTCGGCTCAGAGGCAAAAGGGCGCGTTTGGCTCAAGGACTTTCGGCGGTAAGGCCGGAAGGACAAGCAATGTCTGAGCTCGCGCCCGTCTTGTCGCCGAGACTGCAAGCATGTATGCCCACAGGGGTACCAGAAACGGGGGATCTAGAACGATATTTGGTGGCGAAGAACTTGTGTTCGATTCTCAGAGTGCATAGCTGGTTCGATTCACCCGACGACGCTGTCGCAGAGTTGGGCGGTGAAGCCCGTTGTAGCCCGTCAGTGGCCAGGGAATTCGATGCACGGGTAGATCGGAATGCTTCGGCGGCCGTCAGGGGGCATGCTCGTGCGGAGTTGGCTGGAGGAGAACGAGTCCCTTGCGACCCCCAGCTCTGGAAAGTTACCGTCGGTGGCCTTCTTTCCGGGGAGGAAGAGGCACAAATCCGAAAAGGTGGAACAAAACTGCCAAGACCGGGAAGCTGCTGCGCTGCGCAGCCAGGTCGGTTTAGTGCTCGATCTCGCCGGCCACATCGGGGACGCATCGCCGAGACTCCGGGGATGGGCCCTCAAAGGCCTCAGCTGGGAGGATCAATCGGCTCTCTTGCGGCCTGTAGTGGTCAGGAGGGCTTCGGTGGCGGCGACGGTGCGATCCCACCTGCGAGTCCTTGCGCGGCTGCAGAATTAGCAGAGGCGGCCGGGCTCCAGCCGTGGTCGTTAGATGCAACAGATGTCGCGCTATTTCTCCGCGACGCCAGCGGTAGAGGGCCGTCAGTGCCGAAGGCGTCCTTTGCGTCGCTGGTGTGGGCGAAGGAAGTATTCCAGTTCCCGTGGCCGTTGGAGGACCCGCTGGTCGAGACCCAGAGACGCATGTCAAGCAAGCAGACAGAGGAGCAGCGGCGGCAGGCGAGCCCGCTAACAAGGGCAATCGTTGATTGCTTTCTGACCAGTTTCTTCGTGGCAGCTGAAGCGCACGACGCAGCAATTGTAATTGCTATTGGATTTGTGCTGGCCCTGACGTTTGGCTGCCTTCGTTGGGCTGACCTACAGAGATCCACGTCTTGCAATCTGTCGCGGGACGCACTGTACGCAGAATCGCAGAGGTCAAAGAAGAAAATCGGCCGAATCCCGTGGGCCGCCCCGCGGAGGGATTGGCAGGGGCGCGATTGGGGTGGACAGTTCCACGCCGCCGTGGCCGGCTACGTGAATCTTGCTGAAGCGGACTTTATCGTCCCAGCGATGGCGGTGGAGTCTGGCAAGATTGTCGTTCTGAGCCCAGTCCGCCCAGAGAAATATTCTGGCGCGTTGAATGTCATGAGGCGGGTGCGTCGCGCATTTGGCGGCGTGGCGAACACCGCCGAGCGGTCGTTGCACAGCCCCAGATTTTTCTTCCCGACGCTTGCCGGCCAGCTTCGCTTCCCCATGGAAGAACGCCGGACATTGGGCAGGTGCTCGGGCATGCCCGTGCGCTACGATCGCGCGCGCTGTGTAACTGAATTGCTCCTCAAGTATGACATAGCGGGGCGTGTCCGAGATGGGTTCACGCCGGCGCGGGATTTTGAAGTCCCTGAGTCGCGCGCGCCCTCGGCGGCGGCTGCAGCGCCTGCGGTAAGGCAGACGTCGCTAGTGAGCCGCGCCGTGCCTGATCAAAATATGGTGCTCAATAGGAACAACATGATGTTGCACCGCCAGTCCGAACAAGAACCGCGCCGCACGCGCTGCTCTTTCTGGCGGGCGCAGTCGCGGGCGCCAGTAGAGGCGATTAGAGGCGCGCCTGGGGATTACGAAGACCGGTTCGTCAGATGCGAGCGCTGCTGGGGTAAAAACTCTGGCGGCGTCCCGCATTGGTCTCGGCCGAAATCCTCCGGCGAGGAGGAAGGAGCATCGCTTGTCCAGGATACACGAGATTCCTCCGGGTCAAGCAGCTCCGCAGCCATCGAATCGCAGCGTCGCCCGGCAAGGGGCACGCGTTGGGGCAGTGCGACGCGGCAATGCGGAACCGAAAATGCCCAGCCCTGAAAGTGGGGGCGCGTTGGGAGTTAGGCCTGGGCAGATCACGAACGTGACTGTCGGGGCCCGACAAGTGACTGCCAACGAGAGCCCTGAGAAAAAAAAACAGGGCGACAGCGTGGACCCCTGACAGGGGGCCGCCATAGTGCAAGCGCTGTTTGGGAATTGTGTGGACCCCAGACAGGGTCTGCATGGCGTAATGCAAACGCTGTTTGGGAGTCGGTGCGAGCGCCGCCGCCGCCGTCGCCGTCGTCGTCGTCGTCGCCTTCTGCCTGCCTCCTCTCCTCCCTCCTCCCTTGCCTTTTGCTGTCTCCCTCCTCCATCCTCCCTAGCCATGTAGCAGAGGAAGTGGTAGCAGCAGAGCAGGGAGTGTGCGGACGATGAGAATTGCATGGAGGTTTGTGGTAGGCAGGGCCGGTGGCGTCCACATTTCTCATCGTACCTCCGATTGTTGCGCAAGGCGTAAGCCCTGCAGTTGCGGATTTGAGTGAGGCGCCGAATGAGGAGTCGGGGAGGGGCCGCGTAAGAACAGCGCAATATGTTGAGCTTCCCCAGACTCTCAGTGAGGCCGCCTTCCGCCTTCCGAAGGGTTTCGGCTCAGAGGCAAAAGGGCGCGTTTGCCCACCCGACAGCGTCTCCCACCCTTTGCAACAAATAGTAGCAAGAGTAAACCTTGTGAGCATGTCTTGCGTAGAATATAACTAATAAGGGCGAGACGATAACTGCGCATCTGGGTCGTCGCCGTTTTAGTCGTTAATTAATATGTATAATCAAGTGCCGTCTCAAAATTCCCCTTTCCCTTCCAACCCCGACCCCTTATGGAGGAAGAGGTGGAGGAGGATATCAAAGAAGAGAGACCGGCAGTGTCCCAGCCGTCGGATGTGGTGCCCCGGCGACTCGAAAGCCGCAAAATAGTGCCGGCGCGTATCTCTGTCTTCGCTCCTGTGTTGGACTTAATGAAGGTACTGGCGGCAACGGCTCTCGACCCCATCCTTTGCAAGACGGTGCCGGCGCACTGTCTGAGTTCTCGACCCCGCCCCAGGAGCTGAGGAGCCTTCCCACCCCCTCATGCCCTTCCCCCTCCTACTTGTATATATATATATAAATATAAATATAAATGTATATGCGATATCATTCTTCGCGCTTTGTGCAAGTGAGAGCGTAACAGTCTGTAAACGTGTATAACATATGCCAGCTTTAAGGGTCCGGGAGCGACTACCGGCCACGCGGCCGGGACAGTTCGTATGGACCCATGCTCTTTCATCGTATCAAAATTACGTTGTATGTTGCGGACCGTGCGCCAACCAAGCTATCCGGAGCCTTTGTGGCTCAAAGGCGCGGGCGGCGCCGCCCAAGCACTACAGACTTACCGGGCAATAAGAACAAGCTTATGTAAGCCAAGTATGGCGTTGGAGCTGGATCCTCGTCTGGACAAGTTGCTTCGCAAGCACGGTGTCGACGAGAAAGTGTTTGCGTACTTCAAGACTAAGCAGATGGTAACAATCTGCAAGTTCGCAGGCCTTGCGGACACGAAGGCCGATGTCGGCGAGGGCATTTGTACCCCTGCGGGGTTAGATGCCTTTGACAGGCCGCTATGCCAGCCGGTAAAGGCTGCGTGGCAGGAGGCCGAAGCCCTGGTAATTGGTGAGTTGGAACTCATCAGAAAGGGTAAATTCGGCGACTGGGACGACCCAGTGGACCCAGAGATGCGAGCCAAGAAGACCAACACTTTCGTGGAGTACTACCGCATCCGCTTGCCAGCCCACCTCCTCGGAAACGATACGCTGATGGGGCGCTTGGTGCGCGAGCACGAGCGCAGGGCCCCCACGGCGCACGACCTCCGGAAGGTGCGCGCCCTTGACAACGACGCCACGCAGTACAAGCCCGAGGATAACAACATGTCGGCCCACATGTTCACCTACAAGCACCGCGCCCTCATGAACACGATGGCGTGGGCTGCTGCGCCCGAGTGGGCGGCGGCGGACTGGTCGGTATTGTTGGACTACCACGAGTGGGTCGTGCTCAAGATGTACGAGAAAAAGAACGGGCGTCTCCCCAGCGCGGAGGCCGTGCGGCGCGCAGACCAGCAGATGCGCGCGAAGTGGGTGGACGTCGTGCGCAACGACAACAAGACGCTCACGGAGGCCGTGAGGGAGTGCAGGACCGAGTGGGTCTCCCTCTTCGCAGAGCTCCACACCGACCGGGGCACGGCGGGGAGCCAAGGGGAGGGGGCCCCTGCGCCCGCCAAGAAGGCCCGCGCGGCCCTCGAGACCGTCGCGGCTGACAGCTCGGGTAAGGAGTTTTGCAAGTTCTACAACAACGGCAAGCGCAACTACGGTAAGCGGTGCAAGTTCAAGCACGCCTGCAATGTCAAGGGCTGCGGGGGGTGACCACCCGGCCTGCGACAAAGAGTTCCACCCGCGACCCCCCGGTAAGGGGGGGTGCTCGCCCGAGGTAAAGAGGGGCAGGCGATGCTCGAGTGAAGATGTTTCTGCGCCGCGCGCAAAGCGTCTGAGAGGGCAGTCGCCGCTGAGCCGCGGGGTGGGCTTCGGCGGCGCTCGCGACGCGCCGGTAATGGCGCGCGTGGGCCGCGCAATTACAAGCGGCTTGCAGCCGCGGAGCGCCGGTGCGGCGCCTCTGGTGCCGGAAGGCGTT